CTCGAGGGAGGACTTGGCCTGCGCTCTGCCGCGAAGCAGGCGGCGCCTACATCGCTCCCAAGGCGCAGAGCACCGACCTCTGTCGGCGGATCTACCCGGGCCATTCCAACAACGCTGACCGCGACGGATGTAGCCTGACGGCTGCGGCGCAGGACCGCACCGCAGTCGCGCGGGACGCCGACTGGGTGGTGCTCGACCACCCACAGCACGGCGAATAGAAGGCCCTCTCCGACGCGGTGGATAGCGCCGCGCTCGACTGGCTTCTGGCGGGCGCCACCCTGGCCGACAGAGCGCACTTCTCCATGGCGCAGGCCCCGGGCTCGGCCGCGTGGCTCCAGCCGCCTTGCGAGGCCTCCGGCGCCGCATTCCCGCGCGGCCTCATGCAGGTCGGCCTGCAGAGGCGGTTGCGAGTCCAGCTCCTTCAGGAGGAGTGTTTTTGCCAAGCCTGTAGAAAAAGTGATGGACTTCTAATGCGACCACGCCCTGGTCTGCGCCTGCAGCGGCGACCAGACCAAACGCCACCACGCCATGCGCAACCGGGTCCTCTTCGACGCCCTGACCGCCGCCAGCGCTGGGGCGGAGTTGGACCTCCCAGGGCTACGTTTCCCGCGCCCCGCCGGGGAGACCACCCCCAGGGGCGAGCAGGGCGGTGACCCCGCAGAGGGTTCTCCTCACCAAACCGCCCACCAAGCCGCAGCGTGCTGGACTCTGCCGGCCACCCGCCCAGGTCGCCGCCGTAGTGTCCGTAGCTTCGTCGCGGGTGGCCCTTCTCTCCCGGTGCGTGGCCTGGCTTGCGGTTGCCCCCCCACCCTCGGCCTCGTTTCTCCCTCCGTTTTTCCCTTGCGCTCCCTGCCTGAGGGCCTTGTCTGCTTGCGGTTGCTCCCCCATCCCCTCGTGTTCCTTGTTTCCTTCCCTTTCCTCCTCCCTGCCAGCTGTCTCCGCCCCGCCCCCCTTCCGCTCGCCCGCCCGCCCTGCCAGCCCTGGCCTCCCGCCTGCGCGTTCGTCGTCGTTTGCCTGCTTCTCCCCTTCTCTCCCCCGTTTCGCTGGGGAGCAAAACCTGCCCGAGAGCAACCGGATAATTTTGTTTCAAATTCCACTCGCGTAAAGATTGGCCCCCCTTCTTCCCCCTCTTTCGGGGTTCGAACTAGCGACGCTTTTGGAGGACAGGTAGAATCGAAGAGCAACACCCGCCAGGGAGGGGTCAGCCCCGATCCAAGAATATCCGCGCGGCCTTCCGAACACCAGAATTACGATTACGCCGTATTGTTGCATCCGGCGGTGACCGTCGCGACGACAAATTCTATATACATATATATGTATATATATGTGGTGATGCTATGTTTCGTATTGAGATGGCAGTGTCGGTGACGACGATGACGAGTATTGTATGATTGCGTTGCTGGTAGTGAAGGTGATGATGATTATGAGGATGAGGAGTTAGCGGGAAAGGATACTGATAATGATGGTGGCGGGTGTTGTGGTGATGCTAGTGATGGTTGTCATGATCATGGTCACGGTGTTATTGGTAAGGATGACGAAGCCGATGCTGATGATGGTGATGATGGTGGTGGTGATGATGATGATATGCTCACGGTGATGTTTGAAATTGCGGGGATGGTGATGACAATAGCGGTGGTGGTGGTGATTCTGGTGACGACGACGGTGTTCAAAATAGTGGTGGCAACGGTCATGATGATGGCGACCATCGTGGTAATGATAATGATGCTGGTGGCGGTGGCGAGGGTGATCAGCAAAGACGATGACATTGATGAAAATAGGTATCATGTCAAGGAGGTCGACCACGATGAAGAGGATGGTGGTGATGATGGTGGCGATGATGGTGGTGATCGTATTGGTGTCACGGTGGCTACGACACTGATGATGAGAATGATGGTGACGACGACGGCGGGGGGGCAATGGTCACGAAAACGGCGGTCACGGTGGTGGTGATGACCATGGTGACGATGTCGGTGACGGGGATGAGGTTGAGGATGGTGGTGGTGACGGCGCTGAATATGATGATATCGGTGGTGCTAGTGGTGACAACGACGATGACAATGATGATGCTGATGATGGCGATGATGCTGATGATGCTGATGATGCTGATGATGCTGATGCTGATGCTGATGCTGATGCTGATGCTGATGATGATGATGATGATGATGATGATGATGGCGAGGATGATGCGGATGATGAGGATGATGGCGAGGTTGATGACAATGACGATAGTGGTGGTGATGATGGTGATATGTTGCTTGTGATGATGATGATGACGATGATGATGATGATGATGATGATGATGATGATGATGATGATGCTGATGATGATGATGATGATGGTGGTGGTGGTGGTGGTGATGACGCTGATGGACAGGATGACGAGGCTGATGATGATGGTGTTGATGATGATGCGATGATGGTGCTGGTGATCGCCATAATGACGATGACGAATGCGGTGAATATGATAAGATGATGTTGAGGTTCACGGTGGCGATGACGGTTTTGGTAGTGGTGGTGGTGATGGTGGTGGTGATGATGATGATGGCTAGGACGATGATGTTGATGATGATGATGACGATTACCAGGATGATGATGTTGTTGTTGATGATGATGAACAATGTGATGAGCAGGGGGAGGAGGAGGAGGTTGTTCAATTTACATTGCTTCGGAGGGAGAGAGGGTCAGACTAAAACGTAGGTGGGTAATGATGATGAGGAGGATTATCACCAGGATGAGACGAAGGAGGATACATAGAAGATGTAAAAGGGGGATGCGAAGGAGACATAAAGCGGACAAGGCAAAGGATTTCTTCCTTGCTGTCTTTGGGACCAGTTCGGGCGATCTCGGGGCGGACTTGGGGGGCCATGTCGGGCGGCATTGGTCGGGCTTGGCCTTGGTCGTTATGGGCTTGCCTTGGCTCCGATGGGAGATTCGGGACACGGCGCCGCCGCCGAAACGGTGCCCTCCCAGCTGCCTTCCTTCTCCCTTTCCTCCTCCTCCTCCTCTTCCTCCTCCTCCTTCGCTTCCTCTTCCTCCTCCCTTCTTCCTCCTCTCCTCCTCCTCTTCCTCCTCCTTCGCTTCCTCTTCCTCCTCCTTCGCCTTCTCCTCCTCTCCTCCTCTTTTGCCTTCGCGGGCCGCCGCGCAGCGTCGGAGCCCAAGGCGAGCTGACAGGGCAGGGGACGGTGGCCGGGGCGGCCGAGGCCGGGGCCGAGCGTGGGACGAAACATGCTCCATCCTTCCGATCCTCCTCCTCCCTGCCCACCTCCTCCCTGCTGCTCCTCCTCCCCCTCCTCCTCCTGCTCCTCCTCCTCCTCCTCCTCCTCCTCCTCCCGCGGCCGGCCGAGGGGGTGCGAACCGCAGTCCCCCAGGAGCGCGACACGAAAAGGAAGCGGGTGGAGGCCAGCCGAGGCGGGGGGCCCAACGCCAGGAGCCAGCGCGAGGCCGCCTGGGCGGCAGCCGGCAGGCAGGGGGAAGGGACGGAGCCACGCGAACGCGAGCGCAGCGAATGAGGACAGCAAGGGCGACAGCACGAGACAACGAGACGGCGCCGACCACGACACGAGCGCCGCCGAACCGAGCGACAGAGCCCAACCCAGACACCGCAGCACGGCAACACGGCTTTTCCTCTCCTCCTCCTTTGCTTTCTATTCCTCGTCTTTCGCTCCCTCCTCCTCCTCCTCTTCCTCCTGCTCCTCCTCCTCCTCCTCCTCCTCATCATCATCATCATCATCCTCATCCTCTCCTTTCTTTTTCCTCGCGCAAGCGGTACCTCATCCTGTCATGCTGCCGCCTTCTCGGCTCCCTTGTTCGACCAACCACGCCAGTCATAGCCCGCGTTGGACAGGCGCCAAGCCTATCTCTAAACGTATTACGGGGCCGAGCCTTGCTTAGCGAAAGCCATCCCATCGTCTCAACCATTATCCGTAAGGGCTTCGCCCCCTGCCGCCGGCCCCCTCTCTCGGAGAATGGGCCATGGAAGAGCTAAGTCATGAGGTCTTGGCGCTGTCGTGAAGCAGTATCGAAACTTCATGCGAAGCCGATTCGCAATCAGCAAAACCAACTGATCACAAGAGGGGTTACCACACCTGGCGATTGGTAAGACGTGTATGGTTTACGGGCTTGGTTACCACACCTTGCGATTAAAGGGCCGAGGGAGTTCTCGCAGTTTGGGTTACCACGCCTTGCGATGGATGTGCGTGAAGGGTGGCACCGAATTTCAGAAATGTGGCAAATCCCCTGTGTTTTTGGACCCTGACCCCGCGGATCTGCGTGAGGGGTGGCACCGAATTTCAGAAATGTGGCAAATCCCTGTGTTTTTGGACCCTGACCCCGCGGATCTGCGTGAGGGGTGGCACCGAATTTCAGAAATGTGGCAAATCCCATGTGTTTTTGGACCCTGACCCCGCGGATCTGCGTGAGGGGTGGCACCGAATTTCAGAAATGTGGCAAATCCCATGTGTTTTTGGACCCTGACCCCGCGGATCTGCGTGAGGGGTGGCACCGAATTTCAGAAATGTGGCAAATCCCATGTGTTTTTGGACCCTGTCTGAATTGGACCCTGTGTTTTTGGACCCTGACCCCGCGGATCTGCGTGAGGGGTGGCACCGAATTTCAGAAATGTGGCAAATCCCTGTGTTTTTGGACCCTGACCCCGCGGATCTGCGTGAGGGGTGGCACCGAATTTCAGAAATGTGGCAAATCCCATGTGTTTTTGGACCCTGACCCCGCGGATCTGCGTGAGGGGTGTCGATTTCGAGGGGCGTGCTAAAAAGCCGGTTTGGGCCTCCCCCCCCCTCGCGCGGTCAATCAATTAGTTACAGTAACCAGCAATAAGCAGAACTGTAACACTGGAAACTACAAGCTACAACTGGTACAGGAAACTGCGAATCCCGCTCCTCGCAGCCTGGTGGCCCCACAAGGGGGCCGGCGGATATTTCTACTACCTCTCCTCCTCCTCCTCTTCCTCCTCCTCCTCCTTCCCCTCCTCCTCTTTAGCCCCAGGATTGCTACGCCGACGACCGCAGGACGTTCCGCTGCGACCTGCCCGCTGGCGCGGCGCAGCCGTGGCACCAGGACTTTGCGAGGCGCGGGGTGTGCAGAATCTGGCGGCGCGCACAGCGCGAGTGGCGCGTTCAAGTTACGACAATCAAGCCAGACGATCAAAGCATGTCGATGCAATTTGGAGCCTGCTGGAGGTCTGAGGTGGCCAAGAATTGGTTCCGACAGGCACCAAGGGGGGGCGAGGTTTGAGGTGTTGGGTTCGGCCATGATTCCTGCCTTTTTCGACCTCCGGGGGCCATTTTCAGGCCCTTGGGACCGTCAAAAACGGATCCGAGGTGAAAAACTGCACCAGATGGGCACCGGGACGGGTTTGGGGACCGATTTCGAGCTGATGTGCGATGTCGATGCAGTTTTTTTAGCAGTATCGGGTTAGCGCTCTTCTGAACCAGACCGACTACTGGCGATGTTCGGCGGCGAGCCTGGGGGTGAGTGAGAAGGTGCGGGCCTTCACAAAAGGCTCGGAGGGCCTCCAGCCGTCGGAGCGGTTTTCTGAGCCTTCCCCGAAGACGCAGAAACCTGCTTCAGAAGGCCAGAGGGCTTCTGAGAAGCCCCGCCGCCTTCTGAGAGGGCCTTCTCCTTCTCGCTTCCCCCCCCCTTCGCTCGCCGCCGAGATGTGCACGCAAACGGGTCACGAAAGCATTACCCCAACACCTGCGCACAAGGGGGGGGCGCGAAGGGGGTGGCCTTCCGAGGATGCGGGTAGCTTTTTGGAAGCTACACTCCGGGCTCTTAAGGAGCCATCTTGCAGTCGGACCGCGGTATCAGATCAAGGTCGGTTCGGGGAGAGGGTGTCCTAATGTTCTTCGTGTTCGTTGGATGCACTTGTGCACCCAGGGGAGTGTACCCTTGGATGTTCTGTTTGTTTTGGCCGACGGAGGGTCTCATGTTCTTGGGGGATGTTCTTCTGGCCCAGGTCCGGCTGTAGAAGCATCCATGCGTGTCTATCCAGGCCTCCCAGATGAAGGTCGGGGTAGATGGGGTTGATGGGGTACCGATACCGCTACCCCCCTCATCTTCGCCTTGTGAAGTCTCCTGGGAGGCCCTCGTCGCCACCGCTGGATTCGCCTCGAAATTCTGGTCAGACCGCACCCCGGGAGAGGTCCGGGGAGTGGAGGTATCGGCATCTTTTACTTCCCCCACGAGTTAAGAGTAGGTGGGGTCGGAGGATCGCGCCGCATCGCCGATGTATTGGCGTTGCAGCTCGATAGGGAGCCCGATGCTCTTCACTCCGACGGCGCCGATGCATCGCCGACGTCGACGTTGCATCGCCGATGCGTAGCCGATGCGTCGGCAATGCGGCGCGATGTTCCGACCCCTTGTACTCCGACTCCATTCGGAAGGCCCTCGTTCTGAGAAGACCCCCGGCCTTCTTGGACGGCGGCCCTTCGTGATGCCAGGCGCCAGCTTTCCTCCGCACCCTCTGGCCAGCGGCCTTGTCAGTATGGGCCAGCAGCGGCGGCTCGGAGGCCGCCAAACGGCTCGGCGAGCACACAGTCCACCTGGAAGTGTGATCCTGGCTGGGGAGCGGTTCTTGGACCTGGGCAGCGAGACACGAGCACGACCGCTTCTCGCGGTCGTCGCAAGCAAGCTCGGTTGCCAGCGCGGCAGGACAACATCTGGCGTCTGCGAGAGATGGAACGCCTCTGCCGAAGCGCCTCCTGCCACTCTTGCAAGAGCGCTTGCCAGCATTATGCAAGAGATGTTTTGTTTTTTCAGTGCGGGTCCCTGGAAGTCCAGACCCTTCCCCCGGGGCTGGCTGTTCATCCCGAGCCGTCTTTCGACAGCCCCGAGGCCCGACCAGGGCCCCCAGTGGCCGAAAACCCGCCTTAATGTTTTTCTACGACGCGAGCACGACGCCGACGCCGACGCTGCCGCCAACGCCGACGCTGCCGCCAACGCCGACGACGACGACGACCACGACGACGACGACGACGGCATGGCCAGAGTGAACTCATCGGACGGAGCTAGGCTGAGGATGAATCCGTTCAAGAGCGTTCTGGAATGCTCTCAGGGCGTTCCGGACAGCTCCGAGAAGGCCGCGGCGCCCGAGACACCCTCCAGAGACGCTAGATCCGAGAGATTCTCGATGCATCCTCGCCCGAGTGTGTCCTCGTCCTGGCTTCGTCTTGGGGGCCGTCCCCAGTGAGGCTCGGGCCGCCCGCAGCCTGACCGTCCCCTCGGGGCGCCCTGGGGCTAGCCCGCCAGCCGCCAGGGCCCTGTTGCCACGAGCAAGGTCGGGTGCTCGTTCGTCTAGGCCTCCCAGATGGGGTCGGAGCAGATTCGGAGGCCCCCGAGCGGGGCGGTGACCACTCCGTGCAGCGAGCCAGTGGGGATGCGGGGCCACCGCACGGTTTTGGGACTCGAGTCCCTCTCCGAGGACGCCTCCGGCGACAGAGGCCCTTTTGGGGTCCCAAGACCGTGCGGTGACGGACCGTGCGGTGAGGTCTCGGGGAATTTCAGGTCACCGCACGGTTTGTCACCGCACCGTTTCGGGACTCCAAACAGATGGGGTCGGAGGATCGCGCCACATCGCCGATGCGTCGGCGATGCGACGCGATGCGGGTTCCGATGTTCTCCACGCGGACGTCGCCGCTGCACCGCCGATGTCGCTGATGCATCGGCAACGCATGGAGGAGGCATCGCCGATGAGGCGAGATCCTCCCCCGTCTACGCTGACCCCTTCCAGGGGACCTTCTTGGAGCCATTCGCTCCACTCGTGCGCCGATGCTGCGCCGAACGTCCGTCGGCTCAAGACGCACTGGGCTCAGGCTAGAGCCGCACAGATCCCGTCGGGTGAGCGACGGAGGGAAACGGGATCGATGGCGCGGATTTGCGCGCGTGAGTTTCCCGCGTAGGTTCGCGCATGGGATCCCTCTTCCCCACGCGGTGTGCCACGTTGGCGGCCCGCGAAAGCCGCGGCGTAAGGTCGCCATGCCGTCTTGCGTGAGGCCCTGGTGTTCCTTCGTCGCCCGGGTGGGCCCCGGGGAGGCCCCCCCTGGGCGAGCAAGTCTGTGCAGGAGAGGCAGGACGAGGGAGGCAGCCCCTCCTCGGAGAGGTCCACAGGGGCAGGGGACCTCCTCGGCCAGGATGCAACTCCTGCGGGAGGTATGGAGTCCAGGATCGGCGTCGTCGGCATATCCCTGGCCGACAGCTGGCCTGATCTGGCTTCATCCCGCCTAGTCCGGAGCAGTCCCGTCAAATCCGGCCTTCTCCCAGGCTTTCCATCTGGCTTCCTCCGGCGCAGTGGCCCCTCAATCGTGCGCAAGAGCCCTGAATCGTTCTGGCGCAGACCTCCCAGAAGTGGCCTCCTGATCTCAGAGCTGGAGGCTCGGCCCCTTCAGAGATCACACACCCCTCGGGGGGTCGGACTGGGCCAGGACGAGGACAAGTCCGTTTCAGAGCGTTCCGCAACGCTCTCAGAGCGTTCCGGAACGCTCTGAGAAGGCCGCGGCACCCGAGACATTCTCCAGAGCCGCTGGATCTCAGAGAAACTCTCGATCTATCCTCACCCGAATTTGTCCTCGTCCTGGCTTCGTCTTCGGGGGGGGGGGGAGGGGCGGGGACTTGCAGGCGCGGCTCCAGCGCGCCGCCTCGCACTCGCTCCGCCTGTGGACCCCCCGCGCCGACAGAAGCAAGCAGACGGGCAGCGCCTGGGCCGACGTTCGAGCGGGGCCAGGACGGGGACAAGTTCGTCCCAGAGCCTGCCGGATCGCTCCCTGAGCGTTCCGGAAGGCTCGTAGAATCGAGTAGGGGATCGACTACAGGATTGATGTACCCCAGAATTGCTGTTCTCGTCGAGCCGTACGCAGGGTGTGCGTAGATCTACGAAAGCGCGTTTCGCATGGATCGCACGAACGAATCTATGTTGGGGAGGGATCAGCGGTTTGGTCGATCCCTTGCTCGACAGAAAGCCGCGGCGCCCGACACGAACTCCAGAAGCGCCGGATCTCCGGGATTCTCGAGCTGTTCCTATCCGATGTTGTCTCTGTCCTGGCCTCGTCTTTCAGTGGAGACCCATGCCAAGAAACCGCCTCCTTGGGGTTCTGGGGTTTCGACGGCTATGCTGTGGAAAGCGTGACGGTCCCACACCCAAAGTCAAATGGACGTTTTGGGGTTCTTGTGGTCGAGCTCCTACTGCAGACGTCGTCCTCGGCGGCCGCTCGCCCAGCGGGCATGGCGCCGGGGCCGCACGCTTGCAGCCTGCCTTGGAGGGCCGCCTCCCTCGCCCCACCCCCTCGGCCTTGGACAGTTCGCAAGTCACGGAAGCTTCCACTCGTCTTGGGTTGAGCGTGTGCGTCGGCGAGCAGCGCCCATTAGCGCTCAGCGGCGCGCCAGACAGCGCCCGGGAGCGCCCAGCAGCACCGAGCAGCGCTCGAATGGCGGCCAACAGCGATCCGTAGCGCCCACTAGCGCCATGCGAGAGAGAGAGAGAGAAAGAGATGCGTGATCTCCGCTTTGCGCGCGATTGGGTGCTCTGTTGGGCGCCATGGAGACGAGCAAAAGCTTCCGAGCTGCTCTCTAACCCCGTCTTCGGAGGTCGCAGGGTCTCCACGGTCATCGTGCGCGCGTTCGCGGGCGGCAGCAATTTTCCGTTGGTGCCAGACCGCACCCTTCAAAGTTTGCGTCTTTGCCCTGCTGTCCCGTTCCGTCCTTCGGCGGCGAAATCCGAACCCTACCCTCGCCGATCAACGATCTGGCAACTCGATTGGCGGCGGGGGTAAGGTTCGGAATTCGTCGAGCACGTGGCGAAGTCCTCACGCCCCGAGGTCTGGCGTCGTGGGACAGCACGAGAGAGAGAGAGCTCGTAAAGCAGAATGGCGGCCCCAGCTCCCGTCCCCAATCCTCCCGCCGTCCTTCTCGAGCCGCGCCAGCCACTGGGGGCCGCGGGCGGGCCCCCCCGAAGCGCCCCGCCCGCCGTGCTGCCCGCGGACGACCCGTGCGCACCGTGCCGTGGCTGGCGTCTCCCGAGGCGGCGTCGACCCTCGACCCAGGCAGGAGTGGCACGGCGCATGGTCTGCCGGCCCTGGCCGAAGAGCTGTGCGCAGGGCCTGCAGGGAGTCCTGCTTTGGCACGGTGCGCGGGGGCACCGTTCCCGTATGCTTTTTCTTGTCGCGACGGCCCGAACTCGGACTTTCCGCGCGCTGCCCGCTGTTCCCCCCCCCCCCGGAGGCAGGGCGACCACCACGATGACACGGAGCCCGACACGCTGCGGTTCACCTTCACCGCCAAGGCCCCCCGCTGGCGTGGAACGCCGGGCGGAAGGGGTTGGGGGGGGCCCTGGAAGCGTCCCTGATTGGGGGGAGGAGGGGGAGGAGGAAGGAGGAGAAAGAGGAGGAGGAGGAGGAGGAGGAGGAGTCGGAGGAGGAGGAGGAGGAGGAGGAGAAGAGGAGGAGGAGGAGGGGGGAGACGAGGACGAGGAGAAGGAGACGGAGGCGGAGCTGCAGGTTCAGGGTGGGAGGGAGAGTGGGGGGGGGGGGCAGTTGAAAATGGAGGTGGGAGCAGAAGGAGGAGGAGGAGGAGGAGGAGGAGGAGAGGAGGAGGAGGAGGACGAGGAGGAGGGGGAGGGGTAGGGGGAGGGGGAGGGGGAGGCAGAAGTTGCAGGGGGATTGACGGGGGGAGGCATGGAGGGAGGGGAGGAGTGGAGTGCGGAGTGGGAGACGGGGAGGAGGACGCTTTGAACTTCAGGATCCCCGCCCCCCGCCCTTCACCCCCTCCGCAAGGAGGGTGGGGAGGGGCCGCCACAAACGGCGGGTGGTTGCTGGCTATCGCTCGACCTCAGCACGTTGTGCAGCTGCGGACAACACCCGCGCGTGAGCGGTGTCCCGCGCCAACTTCGAGGCGCCAGCATACGAAGGGAAAACTCCCTTCTTGATACGCCCCAAGTTCCCCCGACCTTTGCGAGTGATGGGCAGGCACTCTCGAGCGAGCTGGCGGCCGTCGGTAATGGCCGAACGGCCACATCTCACACAAACAACAAATCATGTAACAGCGGGCCAAGGAGTGGGATCCGTGGAGCACGGTCCCGTGAACTTCCACAGAACCCCGAACCTGGAGGACCATGTCCCCCGGAAAGTCGGCCAGGACAATGGAAACGCGACTAGTCTTACAGACTTAGACGAGAGCCTCCTTGGACGAAAGAGAGCCGCACTTCGTGCAACGAAACAGTTTGCCTACCGCCTCAAAGCGGTGGGCGGAGTTCCGAACGGCAACCTCTAATTTGGAGCCTCTTCTGGCCACCTCAGGGCCAGGGCAGGCTTTGCCTAAGGGGTCCTTACGTGGGTCGGCGGCAGCAGAGTCGGCCAGGGCCCTTCGTGCTCTGTGCCTCACTAAGGCGGCTGTGACGTCCCAGAGATCAGTCTTGGGTTCAGGTCCGACCAGACTGAGAACCCACGCCCTGGATGCAGCCCCCCCAGCCGCCTCGTCAGTGCCAGCCGCCAAAAACTTTTCATGACCACATAATTCAAGATTGTTTGCCGTGACATGCGAGGGGGCCCAAACGACATTGACAGAGCCCTCCCCTCTGCTGTCGACGGCGGTCTTAATTCTCAACCGCATGTCCGAATTAGAGCCAACTGTGTTCGGAGCCCTCCTCCGCTCTCAACCCGACAACAAAGGGAACTTATCGGTTACATACACGACGGGTCCAGAGGTCTGCTCCGAGGCCATGGCGAAATCCTGCAGTTCGGATGAGGAATTGTCTATTGTCTGCCTTCGACCTCGCAGGACATCAGAGAAGCCTCCAAGGACTCCCAGGAGCTTGGGCCGTCTGAAACATCCCATCGAATAACAACCGCGGCCGAGCCGCACCGTCTTTTCCTAGGGTCGGAAGAAAACTTGCCTCCTGAACCGCCTCCGAAGACAAAGACAGCCTCGGAATCTCTGGTCGCAGAGCAGTCGCGGAGGCTCTGGGATCCGAGGGAGAGGCCAGAGAGCTCGGGATCAGGTTCGCAAATAACAGGACGGGCGAGCTCCACAGGAGGGACCCATCGAAACCACAAGGCCGGGTCGGCTTCTGAGCCCGCAGGGACCTGGGCCACCAGCGAGTCGCTGCTGCTGTAATCAGCGTGGCCCACATGACTCCTGCAAAGCCAAATCCTGTGGAGCAGACTCTCATCGTCCGCGGGACAACGCGGGCATTTCTTTCTTTCTGGGGGGGCCAGGGGATACTGGCGCCCCCTCGTCCACTGCGCGCCCGTGGTGGCGCGCGCGTTCGGGCCGAACTGGTCGAGCTCGCCCGACTTCGCGAAACGGTCCAGCTCGCGCCTGGCCCAGTAGAGGCCCGCGCCACGGAACGGATCTTCGCCAGCTTCATGAGCTGAGGCCTTCACCCACATCTGCCGGCGAACATCCTCGACCAGCTCGTCAAGCACCTCAGTGATGCCGAAACCCTCGTCCTCGAAGACGGGCAAACTTGACGTTGGAAAATACCAGTTCCCCCATGACCCCCCAGGCGGACGGATCCAGCGCGTGGCCGAGCGCGGCTGCCACCCTGCGTCAAGGATGGCGGCGATCAGCACCGACCACGGCCCTCCGACCGCCGACTATCTGCGGCTGCCAGCATCCACCAACCTGCCAAGAACTGCTGGCCACGCTCGCTCAACTCGCGAGTGGATACTGGGACGACTTCCCCAGAGAACGAAGTACTCCGCCACCAGCGCGCGGCGAAGCTTCAAGCCAGGACCCTTGAGCCCGTAGGTCAAGGCCAAGGACGTGGCGAGGCACCTGCCTTCGATGGGTCCCGCGCGCGCACTCGCCGCCTGGCGCCCGACCGAGCGGGGCAAGGATGGGCGGCGACAAGCCGTGCGCTTGAAAACCATGCGCACTTTGCGGTGGCGCGCCTGTAGTCCACAAACCATGGGTGGCACGTTGAAGAGCTGCGCGGCGCCTCAGCCAGGTAGTTGTCATAGCTCTCTTAGCGCCAGCAGAGGGTTGATTTCTTCGCCACTCGCCGACGACCAGCTGCAGCATCCACTCCCAGGTCCACGCCATCCCAACAACACTTCACATATATGCCTTGCCGTCGAGGCCTCATTCCTCGCGACCGCATCGTCGATGCAGGTCCAAAAGGATGCGAACGCAGCCCTGTGATGAGCTGCCTGAAGCAGCGGATGCGTTTTCTTTTTATATATATATATAAACGGAAAAAAAACAACGCCTTGGCCATCCTTACCCCATGCGAGAGCCAGCCACTGAGGACCTCGTGGAATAATTGGGATCAGCAGCCCAAAGCTGACCTCGGAGGCACCGTGGCGCCGCGCGAAGCTGAACCTCCAGCAGCACTACAATAGGGGGGAACTCCAGCGATAACGCCGTTTCTCATAGCAAAACCCACGACAGCGAGTCATAGAACTTCTCGAAGTCGAGCAGCAGCGCGGCAGTAGATACCCCCAGAGACTCTGCGGTCTCGTCAGGCAACGCGCGTAAGAGCGCTGCTCGCCGCGCGCTGCTGCCTGCCACTGCGGTGCCCCAGAAAGCGCCCAACCCATCAGACCAGGAAGTTGTGACTCCGTAGCGAATGCGACTCCGGATCATCGCCGTCTCTGGCATGAAACCGATGGCCCTCTCGCCCCCTCTGGGTCTGGGTAGCAAGGCCCCGATCGTGCCCATGAGTTGCGCGGGCCAAATACCCGCCGTTTCGCTGTCATCCAACGTCCGCGTAAACTCCAGCCGACCCGCAGGAAGGGGCCTTGGGATATCTGGCGGCGTGAGTGCGTCCACCCCCGATGCCTTTGTAGGTAACCTCCTGGGAACATCATCTACTCTGTCCAGATCGATGGGAAGAAGAGGCTCATCAGCCGCTAGCCTCCGTAAGTGAGCCATGGTCTGCAGGATGTCGTCGGGCACGTCCACAGGATCTGTCCACAACTTGTCCCAACTGCTTGATGTTTGTGCTCCGTCTGGCTGGTAGAGTCAGCCATCACTTTGCCTCCGACAAGACGTGAATGTGCGATTGGGCCAGCAGGCTTGGCCAGGGCGTGTAACCTGCCTGGATGTTTGCTCCCACTGCGCCGTGTCCCAGGAAACAAGCTCGCTGCGACGCTTGCACATAGCTCTGCCTTGGGCCCTGCTTGCCAGCCTCTCGGCGATCGAAACGGGGCCCTGCAGCTCGGCATCCGAGGGGCTGGCAACTGCGCTGGCCCACTGTAGCCAGCGTCGACGATCCTCAGGACTATATTTGCGAGAACACCCAGCTGCGTCGAGGTGCTCTGCTTCACGACGCCGCGACTGAAAATGGTTATTCCGGCAACGCAACCTAACAGCGATGTGTATAATCATATTTGTAAGGATTCCCCTTCAGATTCAGGTGATAATCCAGTTGTAGAATTCTGCTGTTCTCGCAGTCGCAGTCGCATTCGCAATGACAGTCGCAGTGGCAACGGCCTTAAGATCCAATGGAATCCTAAGGATCCCCAGGGATTCCTAAGGCATCCTTAGGAATCCATAGGAATCCGGAGGAAACCTTAGGAATCCTTGGGAATCCTGATTCCTATGTATTCCTCGGGATTCCTAAGGATTCCTAAGGACTCCTAAGGATTCCTAAGGATTACTGGGGATGCTTAACTATGCCTACGGATTCCTAAGGATGCATACGGAATCCTAAGGACCCCGAGGGATTCCTAAGGATTCCTATGGATTCCTACGGATGCCTCAGCCTGCCTCGGCTTGCCTCAGCCTCAGCCTCAGCCTGCCTCGGCTTGCCTCAGCCTGCCTCGGCCTCAGCCTGCCTCGGCCTCAGCCTGCCTCAGCCTCCCCTCCTCCCCCCCCCCCTTCCCCCCCCCATTCAGCCTCACCTTGTCTCAGCTTCGGCCTGCCTCGGCCTCATCCTCAGCCTCAGCCTCAGTCTCAGCCTCAGCCTGTCTCGGCCTGAGCCTGCCTCGGCCTCAGCCTCAGCCTGCCTCAGCCTCAGCCTGCCTCAGCCTCAGCCTCAGCCTCTCTCAGCCTGCCTCAGCATCAGCCTCAGCCTCAGCCTCAGCCTGCCTCGGCTTGCCTCGGCCTCAGCCTCAGCCTGCCTCAGCCTCAGCCTCAGCCTGCCTCAGCCTCAGCCTCAGCCTGCCTCAGCCTCAGCCTGCCTCAGCCTCAGCCTCAGCCTGCAGCCTCAGCCTCAGCCCTCAGCCTCAGCCTCAGCCTCAGCCTCAGCCTGCATCAGCCTCAGCCTCAGCCTCAGCCTGCCTCAGCCTCAGCCTGCCTCAGCCTCAGCCTGCCTCAGCCTCAGCCTCAGCCTGCCTCTCA